TTTCGAGCCGACTCAGATCTATCAAAGCACCACTTACAGAGAGGTTAAAGTCAACATCTGGTCCTCACACTAGCCCTAGCGAGGAGGCTCGGGGCGATGCGTAAAGGAATGCCAACGAAGATCACCTTCGAAATCCTCCTAGTCAATTTGGATAGCATTCAATGACTTCTCGTGAAAATCATGAATACTGGCCATCCGGTGGTTCTTCTGCTCCTGCCTACATGCTGTTAGCCGTCTACTTTAGTTTCGGACTTACTACTTACAAGGACATTTAGGTAGATGTCGATTGCGGTCTAATATTACATTGCAATAGAGAACAACACTTGGGAAACTTCTATGGCACACACAAAGGTCACTTCTTTCTTCTGATTAGCCTGCCATCCATCTTTTTAGTGGGTGGAGAAATTCGCTAATGGGCCATTGTTGTTCTGCTGTAAATGCAGGAGAAAAAGTTATCCTGCTTTACCTTTCACCGCTAATTACAGCGAATCTAACTACGACTAACTTCTAATCAACGCCATTCATTCATTCAACTGATAAGACTACATGCTTTTACCAACCTCTTAAAGCCTTCGTAATCATAAGGACAACTTATACCTGACCGATAGACGACTTTTCACGACTGTGAGATGCAACTATGCCATTACCTACCTCGTCTCGCACATGGGAATGCGTGCAAGAGTTTAAAACCGCATATCACTACAGACACTCCTTTTCGGTGGGATTTTCACATCGGTTGACGAGAAGAAATTCTAGGAAGTGCGAAATTCTATTCGTGTGACTCGCCTTGACCGCTTCCATTTAGCCAAATTATTTATAAGACAAAGGTGCATAGAGTTGAGGTTGAAGACTATCATAGTTAAGGCGACACTCAGGTCAACAATTGCAGGGTTGCGACGTTATTAATTTTGACACAATCATGTAGACATTAACAGGGAACATAAAGTGGATTTTTATGATTGTCCACATGGGGGAGGGTTTGATGAATGCCGAAGTAATAAGAACAGTGAATAGGTCATCTACGAGTAAAAGGTTTAAGTAATGAAACAGAATGGCTGCACTTACCACTCCGAGGAGCGCTAGACCTGAGCCGAGGTTAAGAAGAAGTGGAATAATACTGAACTTTCCAGCACGTCCGTGGACGAATATGGAGAATCGCAGACCAATCGCTTTTACCAGATCTCGATACAGTGTCCCATTTTCTCGATAACGGTATGAGTAGCTAAAATTGACATTTGAATTGCAGTAAAACAATCTTTCGACGCCTTGAATTTTGCTTGTAGTTGAAACAATCCCTACAATCAGATTGTGTGCATTTCTTTTTGGCCTTAACAAGTGTCTGACTAATGCCATCCTGTAAGACAAAGATGTCTCGCGCCACCCCCTCTTTTGCCTGATAAGGGATTTTTAAGGGGAGAAGCGAAGATGGGGGATGAGTGAGGAGGAAGAGGGGAGGGGGATGAACTCGACTATTGTGGGCATCTGTTTCAGAGCGTAAACACGATAGGCACTGCTAATTGTTCCCTGTAGATGCGTTAGCAAAAACCTACACACTACACAGAAATGAAGTGCAAAAATGAGATATTTTATCCTTCAATCACTGAGACGTGTTGACATGTGTTGATTGGGTCCTTCATTCATTCATCTAATAGGCTCTACACCTTAATACCTTCATCCTTAGTGAATCTAGAGGAGAATGAGGGCTTCAAAAAACGCATCGTTGATATCATTCGTGCGCTAAACAATGCTTCCGGCCTGAAACACAGATTCGTAGTAAAAAAGAACCTGACAGGGATGTAAAAGAAGTGTTTTAAAGCAGAGGTAATGGTTTTAAAATAACCCAAAAGCATCTCGAGCAAATCGACCTAGGAATTGAAATACACACTAAAGAGAGCATAATTTGGGGATCAGGGTTATGGTGTTGCCTTTCATAATGGTAATTGCATCCCTTCTTTCCAACCAGTAGTTTCCGGTTTGGCAAGTGAAAGACCGGCCAGCATTCACTTGCGAAAGACAGCAATGAGTATCAGCTAAAACCCCATTTGCAAGTTGAAGTAAACTCAAGGATAGGGATAGGGAGGGGGAGGGGCCGCCGAAAGAGAGGAAATAATGTAATGACAAGTACAGCACAGAGGAGTCAGTCAACTTGATTGAAACACACCTCCTCCTTCTTCTCGCATCCAGTAAGCAACACACTAAGGGCTGCAAAGTAATGACAAGGATACCTTCTGGAAGCGAGAAAGCAACTCTACCCGTCCCGTTAGGTGGATTATAGTGTACTTAACAGCTACAATCGCGGTATGTCGGAGAAGGGAGAGACGAAAAAAGGTAGGCTGAGTAGATGACCACCCGCGCCTGAACGTTTGGTGTGCCGATAGGACTTTTAGGGGTTACATTAATGTAATAATGAATGTTATTGTGCGAAATGCCACACACCGCATCTCAACCAAACGCAATGTGCCAGAAGTGTTGAAGCACTCCAAATAGTCATTGTTGTGACGTTGGTATGCGCGTACGGTATGGCAGTGCAAAAAAAGTGACATGAGGAAACACAAGTGGTGTGTGCTGCAGATATATGCAATTAAGTGATTCACCGGAAATTGAATCCGCTGTTGCCGTCGTTGTTTACGTCTAGATTGGTGAAGGAGTAGGCAGGCTTGCAGCTCTCTGCACCCCAGTCTAAATCGCAGTCCCAATTTATGATGATCCCAATCACTCCACCCTTGGTTAAAAGAGAAAAAAAGATGAGTTTTAAGTGGAGACACTTACATTCTACTTATGTACGACGAGTCGAAAAGCACAAATTAAAGTAGCCGACAAAGACTTTTTTCCTTCTTCCAAAGGAGTAGCGTTACAAAGTGATCAAAATGACACTGTTGAAATTCTTCGATTAGTAAATTTCGGCGCCACTTCATGCTACTATGCAATTTCCAGCAGAAAGATCGACCGAGGCAGAATGTTACTGTGTCGGTGGTTCTAGCTATGCTGTTTCAGCAATGTGAAGAAGCGGAGAAGGAAATGGAGACCATCGTCTCGCATAAAATTCCATAAAGTAAGCTCAGTATCCAGAAAATTTAGACTAAACCCGATAACTGACTTATTAGCTGCGTTAAAGTAAGCTCACGAAGGTGCGGTAAACTTGAACTAACCATAAGGCCTAAAAGGAACGATTTTAAGATACAGTTGCATCAACGGATTGGTAATCCGTAAGAAACTATTGATACGATACAAAATAATTCACGATCCGTAGAATCAAAGGTGAACATACTCTTGTAAGAACAGATGGCTTCAACCCGACTTCGTTAAAAATTGTTTCAAACTTGAAAATGGGACAGTATTTGTCTAGTGGATCGCTGGGATTATAGCGGCATGAGCCAAGGGGTTTTTTATGACTCCATGCATCTCGATTCCTCCTAAAATAAACAAATAACAGAAAACTGCTAAGTTTTGGGTAATGGAATGAACTACTACCAAACCCAAATTGCTGTAAATTAGGTCATACTCTGCAAAAAACTAAAGTCCTACTCAATTACAAAATTTGTTCTGTAGGGGATTTACAATAAAGTACTAGTAGTAGGTTGCAAAATAATGAGATATAAGCAACCAAAGGCTTGCAATTATTTAAATCGCTCCAAAGAAATACGTGCTCAGCAAAGATGGTAAAGTATAAATTTACTACTTGGTAAAGAAAACATATGAGTCACAAGTTGAAGCCACGAAACACCTCTTAAACTTACCTTTTAACGCTGAATTTCGGGTATTCTATATCATTTTTTATGTAGACTGTGTAGTTGGAAATCATGTCAAAGCGGGTCTGCAAATCGTAGTTGAGAACAATGGTGTCATTCTCAAGGGGGCACCAAGCATATATTTCACAGAAACCTTTTCCATCTTTGATATTTACACATTTTCCTGTTAATGCGCCTAGTTAAAAAAGTAATATATTTTACAAATGAAATAGAAGCTCAACCAAAATGCCAACCAAAGCTGCTGCTCATGAAAATGCAAATTATCGTAAGCGACCGTAAGATACAAGCTTAAGTTCCTAAACCAATCGAAATTTCTTTTGGATAAAGTGTTAAGGAATTTAAAATTGCTTACCTGCATCATGGAAGGACAATTGCATTTCCTTGCAATCACTATCCTGTCTACAAGCAGATTTTTTACTATTTCAAGACTAAATTATAACCAAAATCTACCTTGTCCCAGAACAACGGCTAGGCGTCTGCTGAGGGGTAGTTATTAGGTGTGTTGTCACGAAAAACGCATTATTCTCTAGGGGAGGGTTAATAATATCAGCGGCATCAAAAATCAACGCTACGTCCTCTGTGCCTCGGGACCACCGCTCTATCATTAGCCCTTTAGTTTTGGTAACTACAGATGATACAACTTCATCATTTTCCTGATAACCCTTATCATAAATTAATACCCAGCTACAAATTATTGATTCAATATGAGCTTACCAGACGACGTACACTGTAATTATGACTTGAAGAAACCGGTGGAAAACTCCAATCTTATAGTTGGTAATTTCCACCATCTTCGGTGTTTCATAGGTAAAGAGAAACTCGGCAACCTTCCTACACCCCATCCTGCTGAAGTTTGCGAGTTTAAGGTTGCACCTACAAACCTTGAAGCATTCACGATGCAGTAGAACAAAATAAAGTTGAATAGGCCTATAACATTTTTGCCAAATTGTAAAAATGCAGAATTTGGTCTAAGTTTTGAATTCGTACAAGCTTCAAACTTTTTTACTGAAAAAGGATTGACTTTCCTATAACAGTGTTTGCAGAAGTATGTGTGTAGACATCAAACACCGTGTTTTAAAACTTTGCAATCAGAAGTCAGGGACCTTTTATAAGTCAATCGATTATTTTGTGACGATTTACCATATCCCATAACCGTTATATTCTCTAGTCATACCAGATGTAGCCGTCTTCTCTCCGACTGTTTAGCTATAAGTTTCTGATAACCAGTGTTTACTTGTATAATTGCCTGCTCTTGAATGCGTTGGCTCGCCTTCAAGCCAAGCCAAAGTTCGAACTCTCCTTTTCCCCAGACTGCGTGCATTCAGCCCAACTTAATGATTTCCTCTACTTGAAAGGTAGTCTCGGTGCGCATTAGGTAGCACAGTAGAGGAAGAGGAGAAGGACGCTTATTAAACCACGGGGCTTGAATGCGTAACCTCCTCGAATACAACGCCCTAATCGAAGTTTCGCCTTTTACTTTTCATTTCACCAGTAGCCCCAACTTTCTGTTGTTTCATCATATGCGGTCGAAGACAATACTTACTTAACGTTGTAGTGTTCCGAGACTCCCTACCGGGTGGAAGAAGGCAGTGAGACTGGATACATGTATTTCGAAGAGAACGGAGCAAATGTACCTGACCATGGCCCAAAGGCCAGTCCACTGGTAGAAGGGTCAGACCTACCTTAAAGTGGCCGATGAAGGCCAAGCAGTCAAGAAAACAAAACATTGCAATCATCGTTACCATTAATGCCTTTTTAGCCTTTGTGATACTCAGAGCTAGATTAACACATTGTATACGTAATCATCCTGTCTGACGGTTGCTTTGGTATGCGCCTGGCTCTCATACACGTGGACCGGCCTTCGGACCGTGCCAAAGTTCCATCCCTTCTTCTCGACTTTTAATACATGTATCGTGTCCAACGCGATGCCTTTGGTTACCTGGTGGGAAGCCTCGTAATGCTGTAGTTAGGGCGATGAAATTGAAGGCATTAATCACTTCTTACATTAAAAACTACCTCTGTCGGACTGCCATAATCGATGGATGGAAAATTAAGGCGAACGTATAGGGACTGCCTGCCCACTCTCCTGCCCTTTAACCACGGACTTCAAGAGAGGGTTAGTTGCAGTAGGTTTATTAGCCATAGAGAACAGGGAGAACGGGAATAGGGGTACAGATGAGACGAATGGAAGGTATCACCCGGAGAGAGAATCCTCACGGTCCTTGCGCACAGGATTCGCGTTCCAATCCACTTCCCACCTCTCCCTTATAAAGGTCAACTTAAACACTAGTATATACTACAGAACGACCTTGACGTTTATGAACAGAGCCACTTCATATGCCTTTGCAAGGCAATTAAGAACGCAAGCAAAAATGTCGCTTATGCTTTACTATCAGAAAATGACCTGGATAGATGCTGTTCAGTTGATCTGGAGCGAGGCCAGTGCTTTAAGAATGCAAAATGAAAAAATCGACCTTAAGACTTTCGTTAGTCTGATTTTTCCTTGCATGAAAATTGCTTTCAAAATAGTACTTATAGATTCGGGCGCCTTCCCTTGGGTAAATGAGACGTTAAGTTGCATCGAACGTCGACGCCTTTTTATTGACACTTCTGATGGCCTCCACATTACTTTACCCCTGATATCACTCTTCATATATGGAGTTGATGAGGCTTTTAGATCTTGACAACAGCTTACTTTCCTCATGCAGCTCTGAATTATGCGCTGAACACCAGGTTATTGTGCGTATCTTTATGTTTAGAAAGGCTTAACAATGATACATGTTTGTTCAGAAACTTGACTACTGTACTGCGATGCTTTGTTTATGCGACCCCTCTCATGACTGGCGGCTACTTTGCTAGTCATCTTTTCCTTGTACGCGTGGGCTAAATTTTGGGTTAAGCCAAAGTCCAGACTCTCTCCCTTCTTCTTAAATATGCATATTAAGGTCTCCTTAATGCATTCTTCTACTTGGTCGGAAGTCCTGCGACAATACAATCACAGTACTCAATTTGCCAAGTTAGGCGATGCATCGCGATGCATTCCCTAATAGGCGAAGTCCTCCTTTGTTGGTTGTTGCAATGTAGTAACTAGAGTAAGGACTTATTTGTGTTTAATCGTTCCAAGTATGCTACATTTATTGCCATAAATATTGTAGTTCAATGACAATCACGTGTTACCCGATATTGGTCCTTCTCACGCCATTTATCTTCTTCAAGAATAGCACAATAGCAAAGCAAAACAGCCAAAGTAGGTCTTTGTATTCTAAAATTTGTTAAAAGTCGTTGCTTCGTCAGTATTTCAGCACCCTCAGAAGTTTGTAAGGCTTGGAATCGCCCATTGCAATTGTTAAGACATGCTCATTGCAGAGCACTCAGTGGATTTGACATGACAATGGCAGACCACACA